TTTGTGTGTGGTTCCGGTTACCTTACTCCTTCAATAATAGTTTATCAGCCCAAGGTATGACAAGAGAAAAAGCTCCAAAGGAATAAAAAGACAGTCCCGGCTCCCACGATTCTGGGACAGCATGGACAGCGGAGACTTCAACCTATTATTCCAGCAATCAAGCTCTCGCACCAAAAAGCAAATGCGGAAACCGGCCTTGAGTTGCAGTATTTGCCAGTAGTAGAAACTCTGCAGCTCATGATTCATGTCCAGACCAATCTTGGGAGCCGATTCTTGGTCCTTGGCCGGCCTTGCTGCTCGAAACCCAAACTGGGTCCCAAGAGACCGCCCGAGAGGGGGCAGGGCCAGGAGAGAAGAAAAGAAAAAGAAAGGTGAAAAAAAAAAGATGTTCAAACCGCGTGCGAATGCGGACATTGGTGTGGGACTTGAGCAAAGACCGCCTTCTCCGTGGTAACGCTTTCCAATCGACAGTTGATGGCAAATCAAGGGATAAAGCGCGGCCTCGGAAGCAAGAGAACCCCGAGGTTCATATTTTGTGAAGCGGAATTTATGCCATAAAGTTTTAATCATGCTTCCGCCCCCGTTGTTGTGGCGCGTTGAGGCTGGTTAGATTTGATATGCAGTGAAGGATTCGATTGGGCTTTGTTCCTCCTTCATAGGCGAGCTGATTGCCATTTCGATACCCTTGTTCAAAGTTAGTCTGTTATGGCTGATGGCCCATGTGACGCTTGCTAAGATGCTAAACCCCGTAACTTCTCCGTTCCAGAGCAGCGTATCTGTACGGACAGGTTCGTATTTCAACTCTGGTGAAAGCAAAAAAATAAAAAATAAAAAATAATATACCTCGCTCTGCACGTATGTACGAAGTACAACGTCTTCCATGCTAGGGTGGCTGCAGAACATCCGTGCCGAATGTTCCGTTATGGTGTTGAGCTGAGAATCCTTCTCGTCTCTCGAAACAAAGTCGCCACGCTTTGACAAAAACGCATATCAACCAGGTACTCTCCCTCGGCTGGCTGAAGGGAAAAGAGAGTCTGGGGGAAACGGCGAGTCATTGTGAGCTATCTGATATGATATGCGGTGCATCGGTGCATGGCGTCGATCCTACTTCGGACTATTCAAGAGGCGTATAACTAACTCGCAACTCGAATCGGACGAGGAACGGACTTAAGCTATGGGCCGTCCGTCAGTCAGGCACAGGTACCGCAGCGAGCTAAATTAAAGCTGAAATGAAGCTGACAGCAAGCTGACAAACGTGATGATTGACGGAGAAGCTGATGGTGAGCCTGAGGTTGATGAAGCGACGTTGGAATTGGCGTTGTTGCTGCCGTTGGAAAAGATAAGTTAAAGTTGTCTGCCCGCACATGATTTTCCTGATGAGGAGTGTGCAGAATTCCAGATCGGGAAATTCACGACGTCCAGCGACTTTCTCGCCTGGAGACATCAGAATCATACTAGCCATTCGGCCGCGAGACGATGATGGGGGTTCAAGAGCGCCATCGTAGATCCGGATAGCTTGCAAGACATATAACTCTGGCACAAAATTTATGCGCCTATGGATGATTAACGCTTCATGGTTTGTACTCTACGCTTTATATGTAGTAGTGTGCTAGAAGGCGTGTGGCTGTCATATCAACTTCATTAATTATATAGTATTAACTTCACATTTTCTTTCTTTTTTTGTCTCATACTATGCCTATTTATTCGCCACGTCCTCCCGATTCTAGATCCGGTAGACGCACGGAGCAAGCGTTCATGGGTGTGGTCTCTTAAGCAGAGATACCAATGACACCTATATAGACCAGTTAGTGGTGTTTTGGCTACGCTAAGCCTATGAAGTATCGGAACATACCGCAGGCAGGACGGGGACCAGCGTTGCCAGTCTTCAAGGACTCCTCGTTTCCGCCTTTGCCAAGATCGTCAGTGCCTGCATGGCAGACAATGGTACGCTAGACGCCATGTTAGCTGTGACAGCCCGCCGCATATAGAACCACGGAAAGGAAGATGACATACGCCAACAACGCTGTGTTCACCGATCAGCTTGATATGCTTGTCTTGAACGGACCCGACCGCGTTGCCCTGAGCATCGGTGGTGATGTTACCCAAGTCACCAACGTGGCGGACCTCATCGGTGGGAGCACCGTGGGTCTTGCCGAAGGGGTTGACTAGACTCCATATATTAGCAGCCGCACATCACCAATACTTTATACAAAAAAAAAAAAAAAAAAAAAAAAAAAATACACACATCACAACTTACAGTGAGGGCCGGCCGATGTGCAGCCGTTGGTGTTGTCACCAAACTGGTGGATGTGGAAGCCACGCTGGGCGTTGGGATCATGGCCGGTGATGTTCCATGAGATGGTGGTGGGCTCGGCCTCCGACTCCTGCTCGAAGGTGACGGTGCCCTTGACGTTGGAGTCACCACGGACGACGGCAACTGCTCGGCAAATAACAACAGCGCAAGAAGGCGTCAGCTCAGCAGGAACCTAAAGGTATTTATAGTCTTCGAGTCTCTGTCTCCCTCCACCCCGGGTCTACCTTGAGAGACAAGAGTCGACAGGCGGCAGACGCTGGCGTGCGCGCGAGAGAGGGAGAGAGAGCCAGCCAGCCAGCGACGGGCAGCCAGTCCTGCTCAAATTCTCTCACCAGGGCGACAGGGATGGAGGAAGAGGCGGGAGATGCGACGCTGCTTAGCTCACCTGCTTTGACCATTGTGGAGGTGTTTGTTTTAAGGTCTTCTTCCCTTCTGGATGCTTTAAATGGCGATATTTTGCACGGTTGATGAGTCGATGGACAGGACGAGAGCGAGGACGAGAAGATGGAGGGACGGAGGATTGAGGGAAAAGGCTGGAAAAGGGCCCTGTTTGTTCCCCCTCGTAAGCAGAATCCGGCCGATGGTGGGGGTGCTGGACATGTAAACATCCGGCCTCGCCCTTGTTATCTCTTGCGTCCTGCTCGGTCGCTCCCGGCGGCCGGCGTGATGCCGCTGCTCTCGAGGACTCTTTTTTTGACGCCCGCGACTACATGACGGCGAAACTGCTACTGCAATTGCCTACGACTCTTATCTACCAGCCTGTTTATTCTTTCATTCTTGCATCAATCGATCATCTTTCTCTCTCTCTCTCTTCTACTACTTCTTCAGCTTCGACTTTTCGTTCTTCCAGCTTTCTCCGAATGACGTAATAGGCTTGCCCCTCATGATGACTAATTCATTAAGTAACACAAATGTATCACGTGGTTTTGTTTGACACGTGATTCAAAGTTTTCTCTTGTAGGGAAAGCCGCTGATTGGTTCATGCGGATTTCTACTGCAAACTGTTCACATTTCTATAAGGGGGGTTTTCATACTCGGTTAGATACATATATTTGGATTTTAGGGAAAGCATTTTCGTAATATAAATCGCTGCAGTCGCATGTCAATCTGCCGCCTCTGCGTACGACCGAAGGGCGGAAAAGAGAAAAGAAAGGGGCAAAGAAGATGTTCAATTTAACTAAGGGGTACCTAAGTAAGTAGCGGCTCGAGCTTTTTCGCTTATGCGGAGGCCTGGATCTTCTCCTTGATGATGCCCTTGAGGGTGACGGCATCAGCAGCAAACTTGGAGATACCTTCTCGAAGCTTCTCGACGGCCATCTGCTCCTCGTTGAAGTCGAAGCGGAAGAGAGCCTCGTCATTCAGGTAGCTTCGCTTGGGGATGTCAAGGTTAGCGGCACCGGCGGGGTCGAGCTTCTTCGGCACAGCGGCGTTGGAGTTGTAGAGCTCCTCAAGGAGGTTGGGCTAATGAAGGAAAAAAAAAGTTTCATGTTAGTATTTTTGAACCTGGGTTTCGACTCTGACTGGACGAAGGGAAACATACGGAGATGGTCAGGTAGTCGCATCCAGCAAGCTCGGTGATTTCACCAGTGTTTCGGAACGAGGCACCCATGACAATGGTCTTGTAGCCGTGCTTCTTGTAGTAGTTGAAGATGTTCTGCACGCTCTTGACACCTGGGTCCTCCTCGGCGGTGTACTCTCGCTTCATGGCAGCCTTGTACCAGTCGAGGATTCGGCCGACGAAGGGAGAGATCAGGTAAGCACCGGCCTCAGCGGCAGCGATGGCCTGAACCAGAGAGAACATGAGGGTCAAGTTGCAGTTGACGCCGTGCTGGGACCGCAAGATGTGGGCGGCCTGGATACCTTCCCAGGTAGAGGCGACCTTGATCAAGATTCTGTCCTTCTCGATGCCGACGGACTTGTAGAGCTGTCATCTAGTGAGTACTTACCCCTCAATTGATCGGTTCAGTTTAGGGAGTTTGAACATACCTCGATGATACGGAGGGCCTTCTTGACGGAAGCCTGGGTGTCGAAGGAGTAGTGGGCATCAACCTCGGTGGAGACCTTTCCTGGAATGATAGCGAGGATCTCCTTTCCGAACTCAACGAGTAGTCTGTCCAAGGCAGCGTCGACTTGTTCATCAATGTTGGAGCCCTGCCATAGCTGTTAGCTGTGGTGCTTCATTCCATCGTTCACGGATAGGTGGCCCGGCATCAAACGTACATTCTGCTTTCCATAGGAAATAGCAGCATCGATCAACTTGGCGTACTCTGGCTTCTTGGAAGCAGCAAGGATAAGGGAAGGGTTGGTGGTAGCATCCTGAGGCTTGTATTTGCCGATGGCTACAAGTTTGGACACTTATGTTAGCCACGGATATCACGGAATCAATGTCGACAGCTTGACCTGTGCCGCTTCAAGCTATACGGCTTCGAGGGGCATCACTCACTTGCAAAGTCACCTATATCAGTCCCAACAGCTTCACGTTAATCCATATGTTCTCTGAAATCCTGGATGAGTGCCCCTCATCGGGCCCCTCATTGCTCATCACTCATCATCTCAACCGCTCGAGTCTTACCGGAGTCGCAAACGACAGTCTACTCTATCATCAGCAGGAGTTTCAACGGAGGCAAATTGCAGGAATTGCACGAAAGGCACCCAAACTTACCGTGCCAGAGGCCTTCAATTGATCGAGAGAGGTAGACATCTTGGTGCAACGTATAGAAATGCCAACTTGTCTGTTCAGTGTAGTCGCGGGAGGCTTCGGGGTCGATTTAGCAGGTCAGTCCGGCTGTTACTGTGAAGATGGAGACGAAGAATCGTTCTGTGTCCAGGTGAGATGGAAGATAGATGAAGGTGAACTCCTGAAGCGGGCGCCGTGGTTCATATAAACCTAACGTTGGACGGAGGTGGCAAGCTCTCTTTGGCTGGTTTGGTTGGCTCACTAAGCAGCTCGCCGTCTCTTCCTTTTTCTTTCTCTCCCTGTGGTGGGGCTGGGCTCCCTGGGCTCCCCCTCGGGCGTAACCCCGCGGAAAGCGTCTCGGTTGAGCTTCCGCCGCGCTTATTTTTTTGGGATATAAAAAGCCTGCCTGCACATCAACCACTGGAAAGCGAGAGTTTGATGGCAGCTTTGGTTAACTAGTTAACTAGCGTTGTGGCTAAAGGCTGAAGGGCGACTTTCTATCAAGTCTATAATGGAACAGAGGTCGTTGAGCTCTTCTGTGCTGCCTTCTTCTCCCCTGGCCGAGCTGGCTCATCTCTCCGTCTGTGACTCCGTGAGGAGCCGCATACTGCCTCCATGACGGTCAAATGACCTCGAGATATCCCATCGCCGAGTATTCCGCTAATCAAACAGGGAGCCACGTTCGTGGAAACACAGTTGGAAGACTCAAACCTTAAACTGTCTAACTATATGCAAGCGGTGAAGTAAGAAACCGGAGGTTTGATTCGCTGGTTTTAGTTCTGCAGTCAACCGCTATTTGGAAACATTAACATTTGATCTCCTAGCTAGCTGCATCACAGTGTATGTGCAAGGAGACTTTCTAGGACCAGACCAACAATATGGGGAAGCGAGCTCGAACCAGAACAAGTATCGACTAGTATACCCAGGAGCAGCCCCGGGGAGGTTTGGAGCTAGTTAATACAAGCAAGCGGTTGACTCCGGTTTCTATGTCGTATACACTCCCTACTCAACTCTTTGTTTCCTGGCATCCCTTTACATGTCTACCAACTCTCCAGACTGTTCGGTTGCGTCGCTAGTCTAATATCAGTCATATTCTGGCATCCATCGAAAAAGCTGGTATTCCGAGATTTCCCTGTGCTATTCTGGCTACCTAAATCTGCAGATTCAATGTTCCTCTTATTCTCTGACTGAGTCCTAATAGCATTGCCTATTTCTCAAGGTGAATCAATATCGGCCTAAGTGTCCTTGACAATCTCTAGACAATCCAATACTAATGGAGATTCCACGTTGGTCTGGTCAACGGGTCAGGGCTCTCACAAGAGCTGGTTAGCAATGGCGTAGAGTAACAATATCACTCAGAGGTGATGTCGGGTTACCATCTACTCCTCCATATTTTTTCCTAAAGGCCATAACACGAACGCAGACCGGTACACTGATGAACCTTGAAGCCGTAACCTCATGACCCATAATTTGGTTCATAGTTCCTTCCTGCTACAATTGGACACTTATCGGCCGTTCTGGTTGCCGTTTTTATTGTATGCGCGAACTTGTCTACCTAAATTCCACTACTTCGGCTTTGGAATTCTCCATCTGATAAAGTCATCCAAAGTAACACCACCAAATGACTTTTTATTTAGATACTATATCCGGCGGTGCTGAGAATTTGTGTTGAGATACGATCCATCGAGAGGTATTCTCCCGTATGTCAGCACCTTGCCCTCGGAAAGCCGGATAGTAAAGCTAGTCATCAACACAGCGTTCCGTCATATCCACCACTTCCACACCCAAATACTTCTCTAATAGATCGATCTATTCACACTTAAGGCCTGAGTTGATAACGAACGGGTAAAGCGAATGCCAAAAAGGGGGGAATGGAGGGAGGGGGATTTCCTGGTACCTGCAACGATACATCGTCTCTTCTTCTAGACATGTTACTTGACCCTACAAGAAGTTCGACACTGGAGATCTACCGTTAAAGCCTATAGACGTCAGTCTTTGAATTAATGCGCCAGTGTCACCACCATAGAATGCATGATGAGTTTGGGTAGTAGTGAGGTTACCCTGGACGATGTGGAGAGTCTGGCCTTACAGCTCGAAAATTCAACCTAATCCCTTCCGGTTCTTCCGGTACTAATGCGAATCAGGTACCTTTTTAGAAATACTGAGAGAGGGGCTGATATCCGCAGTAAAGGGAAAATTAAAGCCTCAAAAATGTCCGAGTGAATGAAATCCAAATATCGTCGAGAGTTCGGGACAAGGTTAAGGACCGCGCCGTCGTCTTGGCATTGCCAGCCGAGACCCACTCCCCTGGCTCACTGCATCGAGGTCGTATTGAGATATGAGATTGGTGTTCACAGACCATACCCAAGCTATGAGCTAGTGTCTGGCTACATTCAATGATTTTCGGTGCTGGGATACCTTAATTTGTCAAATTCAATAACGGTACTGAGCACTTTTATCTCATTAAAGCAAGGAATAGTTAATTGTTAGACATTGGCTAAAGTTGTAACAGCTTCGATCTACGAATAAGAATGTGAATGCAGACTGTAGTAAATATGCGTAGATTATTACCTCTGTGTTGGTTTATAACCGAGTGGTATACAGAAGAGGTTTCATAGTAGGTTCTGGCCAGCTTTAGGTAGTTATCCGCCTGGAAATTTAACAATAGACCTCCTATAAAATTTTGCACAAGTTGAGCTGGATATCAAATGGCTGTGAGCAATATCAAAACCTATCATAATCGTAATCGTCTATAATGTAAACAAAAAAGTGCCAACCAGCAGCTCCATGCGCCCAAAAGTCTAATGGCGCTGCACACAATTCCACTCATAAACTTGCCCCGACTCGTCACCCGTATATACAACATGTGAGAGGGGAAAAACACATGTAATTCCTGCAAGAGCGGCTGCTCCATCCCCACGCGAAGTGTTTACGTGATGTAGCTGGCGGATGAGATCCAGCTCAAACACCCCATTTCTGATGCACTTGCTCCATATCTATATTATCCACAATTAGTAGCTAGAATCAGCAAAACATGGAGGAAAGTGTGCGCCGAATCAGTCACTTACGTTCACCAGTCCTTTCCGATGGCCAGTGAAAAATAATTCACGCTCTAACCACTCATTGCCAACCCCTTCATAGAAAGCACAGGAGAGGACGTTATCATCTGACTGTTCGCAGACGGGTCTTTCGAGAAGAAGGGTGCCGTTTAACGTATAGAGATAAACCATATTACTACGACAAACGGCAATATTTCCAGTTACGTCATTGATCCGGGCGCACTAAGGGAGAGTTAGTCAAAGGGTAGTCACCATGGGGTCAGAAGTAGAATCTTACGCTAACTGGCGGGCCAGTTGACAACTCTCTCAAAAACTCGAGCCTGTTTAGATCCCACAGCATGACTTGACCATCTTTAGAAGCAGATAAAATCGTGCTAAATGACCTTGAAACAGCAAGGACGGTGACTGGTGACCGATGGCCAAAGAGAGAAGCTTTTGGCAGGAGGTCAACAGATCGAGATGTTGATGTGAATGACCAAACAGCTATGGTGCAATCAGTGCCAGCAGTAATCAAGGTCTGGGAATCAGCAAAAATAGCACAAGAGAGTTGGCCGATATGAACATGCTCGAAATGGCCAATTAACTGTCAAGAAGGGAAGTTTAGCATTAATATTCAATCTAAACTTAGAGGAGATTGTACTGTACCTTTCTTGACTCGGCCGCATAAAAACGGACGCTTCCATCAGAGAACCCCCACTCCATATACTTATCATAGGTTGGGGGGATGTTGAGTCGAAATGCTGCTGCACAAAGAAGGCGGTCTTGTTTCACTGAGAAGGACAGGGAAGCCACTCGTTCTTGAATATCTAGAAGCGGAAGCCATGTTAAAAGAAGATCGAGGAAGACATGTGAGACATAGCCTTACCTAGCAGGGTAAATGGTAAACGGGTTAATGAATCTGCGGAAGAGTCCAGCCGAATGGGCTTGTTTTGGATTTCTTCCCGTCCTGGATGATGTTTGTGAAATACCTGATGAGGGGTTTGGCCGAAATTATGGATGATTCCTATGGTTGCTAGTCTCTCCATGGGATCTTCAATGCTATCAAGATCTTTGGCGCCCCGATAAGACAAATGGTGGAAAACGTTGACGGCTTCCAGAGCCGCTTCACCTCGTTGTTTGGCACCAAAGATCAAGTCAATCCACTGATGTAGATTGCGGGTAACAAACGGGCTTTCAAGCGCCTCGCGGTGTTTGGCTATAAAGATCTTTGGGTCTCCTTTTGCCCACGGAGGAAGCTCCACAGAATCAATCGATTGGCCTGTGCTCTGCCGTATCCCAAAGTCATAGTTGTTGGAGTTTGAGAGGAACTCTGGCAAGTAGAAAAACTCCGGGATCAACTCTCGAACATCGGTCATATTAAGTCGTGATGCAGAGTTCCACGCATCAGGGATTGAGAAAAACAGGCGGTCGGCATGATCAAACGTTCCGCCCTGCAGGAGGAGATAAGATTTGACAAATGGTTGGAGACGTATCAGGTATGAACACACGATCATGGCAGAAGAGTAGTGTGTCCCATAGTGAAAGGGTGGAGCATTTTCGTCTCCCATTTCTGCAAAAGATTGGTATCTGCTCCTAAAATCTGCTTCGCGTGTTATCGTTTGACATCCCATTGGTTTCGAAAGGTCACGGAAGGTTCTTGGGTTTGTAAGATCGAGCTCTTCACTGGTATAATCAGCAAGAATCCACGGAAATACCGGGTATTGAGTCAAATCATTGAAGGTTCGACCTGCGAGCGTATTAACCAGCATCAGATAATGAAAGTTTGACATCTCACCCTTCAGCCACTTCCGTGTTGCCGGGTGGGAAGGCATCTGGCTGAAGACGTTCACAAGTTTTGATCCAAAGAACTGTGAGTTATTTCCTTCACTGCGTAAAGTCTCAAAGCGCCATGAGTCTTCTGTTGAGCTAGTACTGCTATGTATTTGGGGTGCACGGGATATAAGCTCGTTATAGAGCTCGTTGCGTAGCTTGGCAGAGATAAGGGTAAACAGGTAGCTCCGCCCATCAGAGAAGAATATTTCCAAGGCAACATCGCGGAAGAGAAATTGGCGCTTCGACACACTAACAACGTCCGCCCAAATCCAGCTTCTAGATCTATGGGCGCCGTTATTGTGTTTCCGATCATCAGATTCTCTGCCAGAAATGACGCGAACATAAGGATCTCTTTCATCAGGATGCGCTTGCGACACATGGACGATCTCACAGTCAGAGCGCTGGAAAAAATTATCCATTATATAAAGGCTGATTTTTCCCAATATCAACAGGCCCTCGCAAGCTTCAAGCCCAATAATGCGGGAGATGTTGCAAACGTATTGTACTTGATCGCCTCGTTGGAGATTTTTCATCACTTTCCGATTCTTATCTTCATAAGGATCGTTGCCTGTTGGTTCGTCGATCAACTCAAAGCTATCCTCAGTCGCGGATTTATCTTCAGTTTCGTTATCAAGAGATTCCGTGTCAACGGAGTCGGGTACAATCGTGGGAGGTGACAGATTAATCATATCACTATCGGGCGCAGGGCGTGTGCGAATATCCAATTTGATTTCAGGAGTATCATTAGTGACTTTTCTTTTTGGCTGATAATCCCGTTTGGCAGTTGAATCGTCTGGTGTTACACGTAAACGCATTCTGCTGCGCCCCTCTGTCTGGTCCAGGCGCCAGTTATGCTTTGATTGAGTTGCGAGGAAGCCATTCTCACGTCTCAAATTCGTGTACATCCGGGAAAAAGCAGAAGCCATGAAGTTGAAATCATCCTGTTGGTCTTGGACTGCTCGCTGGTGCTTTAAACCTTCCGACACGGATATATTGGCTGTCCAATGCCCGAACGTAATACCATGTTTACGCAGGATCTCTTCGTTTATAGACTCAATCTGGGTCCACTGCTTTAACTTTTCCTTCCTTTTAGATGCTCTTATCCGCGCCGTTTCTTGAGTTTTGGTGTTCTCATCACGAACAAAGCTTTCCCAGCCTTTACACAGAGCACCAAAGGAAAAGCAATCAAGGTCGTCGCGTTGATCATCAATCCAGTGAAGAAAGCTATCATCGTCCATTCCGACGAGTTTTTGGAAGCCTAATGAAAGCCGCCTATGGAGCGATGGAGTGGCCTGACCAAGAATTGCAGAGGTTTCTGACGGTTTTTGAACGAGGGTAATTCTCCACAACCCCGCCGCTGCCACGCGAACATTTTCTTTCTCCGTCACTATTTTAGAGTATAATAAATAATATATTAGTTGAAGTTGCTCGTTCGGAGACTCTTCATGAGACAAAAGGACTGTTTGCCAGTATGTGAGCTGTTGTAGGAAGGTGTATGCGTTTTCTCCTTCAGCTGCAGAAAGCCGTAGGAGTACAGTCCGAAATACCGTCGAACGGATGCCAGCAATCGTTTGGCTGCAAAGCCGGACGCTTTTCAAAGAAGCAATATCTGGCTCTTGTAAGTATTCCAGAACAGGGCCGATAAAGTTCAACGTAGCCATTGCTCCATCAATAAACCATCCTCCATACACGGCTTCAGCCACGTATGAGAGTAGTCGTGACAGGTTGTTCAAAACGCGGGGTTCAACAAGCACTTTCTTGTCCTTCGATATCTTTTTTTCTTTAAATGTGTAAGGAGATTTTTAAGAATCCAGGACTCGAAATATATCTGATGCTCCACAAACCCGGGAGGTATCCTAGCAAACAACTGCAATCCTGGAAACTCTTTGCGCCCGAACAGCTGATCTGTGTAAACAGCTAAAAGGATATCAAGGATATCGTTGGCCACAGGATTGCTTGGACGGGGGCTTGCTGCATCAGGTACAGGCGTCACAATTTGCTGCAATCGGGCGGGAGAAGGGGAATATTTTGATTTATTTGATGATACCAGGATAAATGATGACGATCGGTGAAGCTCATTGTCGTTTTCTTGAGCATCTGTCCCCTCAACTGTACTAGTGCGTACAATCGGTCTAGCCCCCTGGAGTGGTTGAATTGTAACCGAATCCCCACCAAATCGTAGTCCTTCTGAATTGGACTCTAGCTCAAAACCCGCATTGACTATATCAGAGCCAACTACTACGGGGTATAAAGCTCGCAGGAGTTCTTCGACATAATTGGATGTCACTGTAAAATCACGAAAGTTTTGAGACTTTTCATGTATACGAGCCAGGAAATCCACAACGGATTTTAAAATGTCGTGGTCCGATGATATAGGCCCCGGGGTGCTAACTTCTGTGTCGAATAGTTAGTTTCTCCAAGGAGAAAGAAAGAATAAAAGAAAAGAAAAGAAAAGAAAATAATTCCAACGTTGAGTTGGCTATTAAGAATGGTTAATTGGACGACAGGAACACTAACCTGATCGCAATGAACTGCTCCCTGAATCCGCCCTAGGACGAACCACATACACGCCATCGTCATCCTCTGCATGGCTGGACGGAGAACCACTCCTAGGCATCACAGATGCTTTCAAGCCAAGCTGGAGCATTCCTGTAATCACAGGCAGAACCTCTGGAAACGACACTTTGAGGGCCTCGGGGGAAGACAAGAGTCGCTGAAGATCTGAGGTACCGGAAGTTTTATCCAAGTTAATCGAGCCTGGATCCAGACCAAAGAGGATGGAGAAACATAATGGCCACAATGGTGCTAAGTTCCACCATCTCTTGAGTCGGTGCCGCATCACCACGAACCCACCCGCCTTCTCTGCAAATTTTTTGGTGTAAGCAGTGCCATGAACAATAAACAGCCGAGATAAAATCATCGTGACTAATATCACTACATCTGGGTTGTCTTCTGATAGGAGGTATAATAGCCACTATAAACGACATGTAAGTTGTAAATTCCTGCGAGAGTTGTGAAGTTGAAGTATACCTTATTAGTGACTGTCCTGGCAAATTTTTGGATGCTGGCCGTATCTTCGCTGTTACAAAAGACTTCGGTAAACACCCGCAAAATTTCCACCCCAATTTGTTCCTTTGAAACGTAGCCTGGGACGTGATCAGAGTATAAATTTCCTGTTCGTCGGGACCGTATGTCAAAACGGGTATTTCTATTTTTGTTGGTTTTGTTCACTCGCTGCTTTGCTGAGTGTATGGAAAATGTAATGAACAGCGATACAGAACGAAGAACTTCCGCAGTCATACAAGCACCCACTAAGCTCTTGAATGCTGCCACGAATAGCTTCAAAGTTGCTGCTGTGAAAATTTCCGCTTTCAGGGCTTCTATAAGTCTTTTAATCACACCTATTCATACAAAGTTAGCATGTCTTGCAAAAAGCAGAAATCCTAATGGTGGTGAAAAATGGTGAAAACATACGCATTCTGGACAGCCGCTTTGAATTGAACCTGTGGTAATGGCTCTCCACACAAAAAGTTCGGAACTGGGAATAGTATATTTCCAGCAATGGCAAATCAGCTTGCCTCCATATATCCAGGTCTATTAATAGGATCCGGTATGCCAATGGATTTATGATTAAAGACTTTTTCGGGTTCTCAAAATCATACCCTACAAATCTGAGGATTGGTAGTAGAAGTTCCATAGATGCCTCGTTGCGTTCTTGTGTAGTGCTGCACACTGGACTTGTTTTTAAAGGAGAACTCTGCACAGGTGATGGAAACCCAAGTTTTTCCCGCAGGAGCATGGCGAGTATACCGTATCCATTCTCCTTTTCCATGGCTTCGCTATTCCTCCAGTTGTCCTGTACAGCTTCAAAGAGCAGTTCTAGAGCAAGATGAAGCGATTCGCGGGTTGTTGCCGCCTCAACCAAACTGAGATGGACGCCTGCACACCCACCAATTCGCCAACTCACATCATCGAGAGATTGTGGGACAATAACCACCGGGTCTCCCGTAAGTATTGCAACTCCGTGAGGTTGTGTTAGGGCATCATTAATTGCGGGAACGGCTCCATTGATGACAATGGAATTGCCCTTGACTTTGGTGAGTTGAGTTAAATTCTTGCCAGCAGTTTTTGAGAGTGATTTCACCAATTGTGATTCATCAATGTTATTGGTATCATCATCATCCATAACCGATGTGGGTGATATATTGAGCAGGACAGAGCTTTCGGGAATCAAAATGCTGCCTTTCTGTCTAATGACGGAAACAATGTCTGACTGGTCCTCCTTGCCAGCATGGAGGCTCTCATTGCGTAAATTCAAGCTAGCAGACGCCCTGTACGTCTGGAAGGAGCCTAGACAATCCTGGAAGTTCCCATAATATCTAGGCCCAAGATGGCAAAGCACAGCTATAAGGTCATCATTGAAAGCTTCATCAAATAGAATAGCAGAGGCAAGTGACCATTTCGAGGAAGATACGCCTTTCCCAACTCTAACAGCAAGATCCCGAGGAGTTCCTAAAAATGCTTGAATCTGAGGATTCTTCTGGTTCACCCGAAGTCTTGGTACAACCGGGTAATCTGCTTTGAGCTGTTCTGCAAATTCACCATTTACGAAAAGAAGCGCACGGGATAAAGACAGCGTTTTGGGCCGTTTATGCACAATGCAAATATGGTACCATTGACCAGGCAGGAATTTTGTGGCCTTGAAACGAACACTGGGTCTCACACCCTTAATTGAGGTTTGCAAAATAAGGTTATGAGTATCCTTCTCAAGATAGACTAAAAGGAAGCATGTCTGTGTAGCATCATAGGCACCAAACAGGGTAGTATGGGTGTCTGGTTCAAATTTGTCAACTCGTGCCCAGATGGTTAGAGTATAACCACTAGAGGTAATAGAGGGAAATGGTCTTCCCAAAGTTGGCAATTCGATCGAGCTATATCCATGGGATGAAAGGTCAAAGTGCACACAAGGAGGGCTTTTTGAAGACTTCAATGCATCTAATAGGAACCTGGAAACCTGGGGTGCCTTTTGGGCCTTTTGGTAGAGTTGTATAGCATCCTGCAGGGAGTTAACGCCATGCTGGCATAAAATTGTGGTCAGTTTCAGGTACGCTTCTAACTCTTCCTTTGATCTTTCAGGTACTGTTACAAGGGTTAAGAGCGGAGAGAGAATGCCTGTGGAATGGAGAGCTAGACAATTCCGTTGGGACAATGAAGCAAGACGAGTAAGACATAGTGGAACCGAGAGTCGAAGAACTGGATAGGTCTCTTGTTCAGCAGTTTGTGCCAGCCATAATCGCAATAACGGCCCGAAAAATTCTGGGTTTTCTACTACCTCCCCAGTTCCCAGACTGCGGTTAACCAGCTCGGAGAGCGAAAGCAAGGTGTTTGACTCAGCATCCTCTGCCTTCTTCCTGACAGTTGAGAAGAATTGTGACATGGTCTCATTTCCCAGACCAGCTGCCAACAGGCCGCCATAAAGGAGTTCAACATCCTGAGTGTTATTCAGCTTGACAGCCAGGCCTGAGAGTATGCGTTCATACGCGATGATTCCAGCCACATTATCTCGTTTGCCGAAATATCGTTTGTTTCCCGGATCATCTTTCAAGCTTTCCGCAACAATGCATAGGGAATCTTTAACAATTGACAGGAGTAACTTCCCGTCTGCATCCCCTATCGTGTCCGGTTTGTATAGATCTGCCAAACGTTCTAGGAGTCCTAAGACGTTTTCGAACCCTCTGAGCTGACGAAACAGGCTCTTTGCCTCTTGAGGTTGGTGGTCGTCGATAAGCGTATGGTGTATGAGAAGGAGATGTTCGGTGGCTCCGGATGCTTCTTCAATCGACCCTGAGGGGTTATGGCAGCAGCTAGCTAACCCGTCAATTGCGGGCTGGAGTTTTGGGGTCAGTCTCTCTACCGAGATGGTGGATGACGACACTCTCGAGCGAGGTTGCGCGCCGCTCATCTTGGGCGAATGTGCAGTGTATAAGGTCTGCAGTCACCAGCTATCAATCTCATCGCGTGATGCAGCCAGCCATACTTGGTCGTGACAGGTAGACGGACGACTCTAGTGGTAGTTTATCAGCGAGAAACTTCGGTCACGAACTGTCTCTCTCTGCCGTTAACAGTGACTGAAACGTGTAAACTCTCAATGGACGGACAAGATGGCATCTCTCCAGCAGAGTCCTCTGCAGTCCATCAAATGAAGGTGAATTCGCCCTCGAAGCTGGTTCAAGGTATCTTTCCTCGACTCTCCCGCGAGGCGAAACGCGTCACGTGACAGGGCCCGGGCCTGGCCTTACCAAAGTCGTTTGAGCCCCTTGTTGCTGCCTTTACAAGTATGCTTACTCTGGGAGAATGATGGATCTTTCACAGGATGAGCGCGGCATTATCAAGTGATATCCTTCAAATGGCTCGCTGGACAGGCTAGGTGACTGCTTCAAGAGGCAGATAAAGTCCTCGACTCACCGCTGAGGTCCTCCGATAGTGTCTTTGATAGACTCGACCGTCTCTATCGAAGTGCAATAACAAAACTTGTCTATACATTACTGGGAACTAATGTTGCATTGAATCTTTCATCACAGATATACGATTTAAAAGTGGGTTTGGACCTGGCAGACCTCCAAAAAGAGAAGGGAAGCTTGAACTACAGCCTCTATCGAGACATAGTACGCCTAGTGCTTCAAAAGGCTCCGGCCGTCGATATCTGGAAAGCAGTTTTTCAACTTATTAAGACTCTCTCCCAACTCACCACCCCTCCTGCAACAGTTTCTCGCACATCAGAGGGCACACCCTGGAGATCGATGTCATCCCCCCAAGGCGGTAACGAGCAAATTCACAGCCTGGTGGAAGAGAGGCTCTTTGAGGAGATAAGAACGTGCACACATAAAGACGTTGAGGGATTTGATGCGAAGTAGTTTCGAAATACCAGTTGGGAAGAGGGGTTTATGCAGCTCTACAAGAAAGAGGGTAGGGTAAGGGCTAGGGGGTTAAAGGTATAAGAATTATAAGAAAGAGTAAGAAAGGAAAGCTAAAGGAGATAGACATAAGAAGTAAGTAACTAGAATAAGATAAGGTGTAGCTTAGGAATACATGGATAAAACAGAGAAGTTTACCCTAAGAAGAATACTTTACTCTGTGTAGTTAGGTAGATGGATACCGTGGCATTTGGGTAAGCAGATTCCTCAGAGGGTGGCATTTCAGCAACTAGGCGCTGCAAGGAAATACAGGAGCGAGACGACCCTGAACTGTCGGATTTCCCAGGCCCGCCAATTCCAAATGATGTTCTGGAATCTGGACTGGCGGTTCCGATGACAGAACATGTTCTTGGCCGAAACTCGTTGGGATATATAATATATTTCTCTACCGAAGGCAAAAGGAGCCTTGGAGATTCCGAGACTACCGTTCTCTATAGTTACTTAGACGTGGCGTGCTTGTAGGCTGTGTTTAACTAGCATCTAACACAGCCTACCTCGACATATTTATGTGCCATTTTAAATATAGTAGTGGAATAGCTATGAATAAAGGTAGTAGTTAAGCAAAGCATGGTGCTAATACAATATATCTCGGCGAATTTATTGTCTCACGTGAGAGGTTTAAGTTACTAGCTAGGCTAACTTAACTGAGTAATGAGAAGCCTCGACCGCAATTCGGCGATAAGACGAGATAGAAGCCGGATAGACGCCTTAATCGATAGTCGGTGTTGACGTGAAGTCTGAGAAGAGCCAAAGGCCACGGTCGATACGGAGTACTCCGTACGGGTCTAAGTAGAGATTCAGGCAGGCTGAAGCTATCCCCCCCGACGATCCCTGCGGAGCTAACGAGCTAACTAACTAGTTAACGAGTCAGCGAGCGAAGCTGGAGCTGCTGGAGCTGTCCCCGGATATGACAACTCGAAGCTTTCCTCCCTTCTGGCTGTCCCTGTCTCTGTCCCTTATCTCTGTAGCTAGGTAGCAACCAGTGACCCCCTGTAAATGGATTAGAAAGCGCCTCGTCACGAGCTTCTCCCTTGCGGCGTCGCTTCTTCTCTTTTCTTGGTGATCAAACTGGGAAAGTACGAACGAAACGAACGTGACCCCAGCCAAACCTTACTACTTACATAAGCACAGCTCCACTCCACCAAAGGCATGTGACGTGATCTCGATGAGTCAGCGCGAGGATCTTACATCATCCGCTCCGACCTCCGGGACCTCCAGGGCAAATCGTCTGCCTCCAACCGCCAACCGCCAACCTCCAACCTCCTCCTCCCCGTCATCATCGTCTCTTCTTAAACCCTTCGTCTCTGCTGCCTCTTCTTCTTCTTCACTCATCATCACCATCGCCAGTGTCATCCAGCACATCGTCCATCTCTAGTCTGTCTGCTTTTCCATCTCTCGAGCTTCCCATCCTTACCTCCTGTCCTTGACTCGCCCTCGTCGTCACCATGAAGGGCCTCCTCAGCCTCTCGGTGTTGCCTGTGCTGGCATACGCCTCCCCCATGATCGTTGACTCCATCCATCAGAATGCTGCTCCCATCCTCTCCTCCACGAACGCCAAAGATATCCCGGATTCATACATCGTTGTGTTCAAGAAGGGTGTCACCTCCACCTCGGCCCTAGCTCACCAGAACTGGGTCCAGGACATTCACACCTCCGTCGAGTCCAAGCGTATGAAGAAACGCAACCAGTTCACATTCAAGAATGAGGCCTTTGATGGCTTGAAGCACACATTCGACTTTGCTGGTGGCTTCCTCGGCTACTCTGGCCATTTCGATGAGGAAGTCATCGAGCAAGTCCGCAGACATCCTGACGTCAGTTTCACCACAAGGCTGAAAGAGCTCTCGAAGAGCTTGCCAGCCACTCCCAGATTCTTCTTTTGCTCCTTTTTTGCTTTTTTTCTCTTTCTCACCAGCATACTGACCGATCATACAGGTTGAATACATCGAGCGGGACTCCGAAGTCCACACCCTCAAGGCTGCCACTGAGAACGGTGCTCCCTGGGGTCTAGCTCGTATCTCTCACCGTGACAAGCTCAACTTCGGCACATTCAACAAGTACATCTACGCTTCCCAGGGTGGTGAGGGTGTTGATGCCTACGTCATTGACACCGGCACCAACATCGATCACGTCGACTTTGAAGGCCGTGCTAGCTGGGGAAAGACTATTCCCCAGGGTGACGATGACGTTGATGGCAACGGCCACGGAACTCACTGCTCCGGTACTATTGCTGGAAAGAAGTACGGTGTTGCCAAGAAGGCCAATGTCTACGCCGTCAAGGTCTTGAGAACCAGTGGCTCTGGTACCATGTCTGATGTCGTCAAGGGTGTCCAATGGGCCGCCGAAAGCCACTTGAAGTCGGTCGCCGAGGCCAAGAAGGGCAACCGAAAGGGCTTCAAGGGAAGTGTTGCTAACATGAGCTTGGGAGGCGGCAAGTCCGTCACTTTGGACCGTGTTGTTGACCAGGCTGTTGCTGTTGGCATGCACTTTGCCGTTGCTGCCGGTAACGATAACGCTGATGCTTGCAACTACTCTCCTGCTGGCTCTAAGAACTCCATCACCGTCGGTGCTTCAACTCTCGCTGATGAGCGTGCTTACTTCTCCAACTTCGGCAAATGTACCGATATCTTCGCTCCTGGCTTGAACATCCAGTCCACCTGGATCGGAAGCAAGCACGCCGTCAACACCATCTCCGGAACGTCCATGGCTTCCCCCCACATCTGCGGTCTCTTGGCCTACTTCCTCTCCCTCCAGCCTGCCTCCGACTCCGCTTTTGCCGTTGCTGAGATCACTCCAGCTGAAATGAAGGAAAACATGATCTCTATCGCCTCCAAGGACCTCCTCTCTGACATTCCATCTGACACCCCCAACGTAAGCACCCCTCCCCCCATAGTTATCATCTCGCTTGAAAAATTTACTAACAATACTACTTATAGCTCCTCGCCTGGAACGGTGGTGGCTCTGACGACTACAAGAAAATCATTGGAGGTGCTAGGGAGAACGACACTACGGAATTCTCCTCCACCCTCACCGAGAAGCTTGAGAAGTTGGCTGAAGAGGGCCTCACTGCCATCTACAATGAACTCAAGGACGCCGTCGTCGCATAAGAGGTATAATATAGGACGTACCCTATACTAGTACGCCACATCCGATATGTTACACTCAACTACATATCGGGCCAGATGCTCGCACTATTCGTCCCACCACCTGGAACTGATCAAGGTGCGAACACACGAACTTGACTAATGGCACGTTGGTTATTCCAACCTTGGCGCAGATGTTTTTGGTTTCATGTTCCACGGGTGTGATATTACTTTGTACTGCTTGTTTTCTATTTGCTTTCCCCTCGTACCTCACTCTAGGCTCTATCCACAGGTTGTGATTTAGAGACGCATGTCGTTTTTACACACGGTTTTGTATGGTTCGTCTATTATTACTTGCACTGCATGATGTCATTCATTTTTCAGGGCTTTTTTTCAGGTTTAGTTACCATGAGACGTTCTCAGGGCCTATATCTCGGCACGCATAGATAGTTATTCTTATCGAATACTTCCATATGCCAGTCCCAAAGAGGGTTTAAGTGTAAATGAAGCCGTTAGACAATGCATCCTATACGTCTCCGCATATCTATATCCAAAAATTTGTTAAGAAGTGGCACGCGACTCAGGTTCGATGACGAGGCGACTTACTCCCCACATTCCATGGAGGTAAACGCTGCACAAGTTTTGCACCTGATAATAACCTGTCTGAAATGCTGTCAATCCTTTCAATAATGTACGTGTAATATTTTATCTAGGGTGTGTGGCACTGCAACAACCAATTCTATCAACGCCAGTCATACATAGACCTCGTGCATCTCTTGACTCTCTTTCACGTTTTAGTATCATCACTGGATAAACAGCCAGTGATACTGGCTCGCCCTGTCTACATTGCATGTCGACTTGCCCTGTTGCTGTAAGTGCCAGAATTGCTTCCGGACTTGCCTTCCCTATTACCGCTGGACTGATCAGACTCCTCCGAAATATGACCCTCATACCCATTATTATTATTATCATTACCACCGTTCTCTTCTTCCTCTTCTTCCTCTTCTTCGTCCGTACTCGTGCCATTATTCGGGCTATCTTTCCCTTCATCAAGTATGCTAGGCCGTTTCTTTCTTTCAAAGTCTTGAGCGTGCGCCGTGGCTAACATGGTGCCTACCCGAGCCAATGTTCCACTGGGAGGAGTACCTCCTTCGCGTTGAGAATAGCGTCGGCGCCTAAGTGAGCTCGTGGACTCATCTCCGCCATCACCACTCTCAAGATCAGGCATTTGTGAGGCAGCACCGCTCGACACCGCGGTTCCGCCTGTTGGTATGCGTCCAAGGGCATGTGGAAGCGAACCTCTTGACTCTCTGCCCTTGTATGAGGTAGACGCGCCGGGTATGGAAGATATGGCTTCTTCATCGGATACGGTCATTGATATGTCATATGGAAGCGGGACATCCCTTGAAGCTCGGAACCTGCCGACGTTCGTGCAATGTTCGTTCTCGACACGGAAGATAGTCCACATTCCACGACGACATACCTCAGAGAGCGCAACGGCAAAACTCAGAACAGCCGAATGTTGTATGTCATGTATGAATATGGCGTATAGGATCCAATTGAAGCGTAGTATAGGGTCGATTACCATTGCGACATAGTATACCCATCGGCGTCGGAAACCAAGAAAATCGCGTAAGTATGGGTTTTTTGAGTAGGGATTGCACAAACTCCAGTCCATGGCTAAATCCCAAACGGATGCATATATGGCGTTGAGGCAGGCAAAAGTAATAAATATACCGCGCAAGGTGGTTGACTTGTCGATACGGTATAAGCTGAGGGTTAGGTAGTAAAGTATAGAGAAAGAGTATTTCCCGAAGTTGACGAGATGGGGAAACGCATTGCGAGTGTCATAGTAACGGCGAAGGCACTGAAACCCACGCCATATGGACGGGATTGTAGTCACAAAGCCGAATACGCGGGAGTGTGAAGAATTGCACATGGGCGGATTATCCCATTTATTTGCGTATAAACAAAAGAAGAGTGCAATATTCTAGACATATTCTGTTAGCTGGACTGATTCCTTTTCCTTGTAAGAGAAAATGTCTTACTTACCCCCATGGCATAGGTCTGGGAGCAGTACATGTCTCCTAGGAAAAAGTCTCTAAATTCCACAGGGTAAAGACCTGCAAGGAGCAACCGCCACTGTAGCATTGTTAGCCATGGACCATAAAGTGAGAAAATATAGAACTTACATGCGAGTATGCCCACCAAAGCCTGCTTCGGTAGTAAAGAATTCGCGCGGGTAGAAATAATGTAACGACGGTTAAGCCAATTAAGACCACAGGCCAGTATATATAAAACGAGTTTATCCAGCGGAAGTTTAGCCACATGCATAGCCCCAAGAGAAGGCTAAACAGGCATGGTAGCTAAATAACTACACGTTAGCAAGGTAACTAGAGCTGAAGCATGACCACTAGGATCGCCTACCTCTGAAAGTTGGCGCCAGTCTAAAACGTGGCGGGTGTCATATTCAAAAACGAAAATATAGTTGATTTTGGACAGAGTCCAAATTCTACAGTCCAAACAAAAGAGAAAGAAATGAACAAGGATAAGGAAGTATCCGCCGTATATCTAGAGAAAATAAATGTTAGAAAGGTCTCCCATCGTAGAGGTATCTGTTTGCTGTACCTGAAGAAGATAACTGGTTTCTGTCTTGACGTCTATTTCATCGCTGAACAAGTGACCAATTGCATAGGCAAGGCCCTGCGCACCAAATACGAGTCCCCCGGCTAGCATTAGCCCATTTCGGAACGAATTTGGGGAGTAGTCCGTTGGAATTCCTGCTTTGCCACGCAGTTTATGAGTGGCAGCTTTGCGGTTCCCTCGTTCAAAATGACGGGCATACAAATCTTCAACTGCAACTAAGTGATTCTCAACAATGTCACTCTGTACAAACCATGCCTTATTGACCTTTTCAGTCATATACCTCCCAGTGGGGCGGGCGTATGCAACCTTGTCATACTTTTTATTCATCTTTCGAAATGCTTTTCTGTTTAAATCAGCATATGATTTAAGCAGTTCTAAGCCGCGATAGAATTCTAAAAGGGCAAGCTTTAGTTTCCTCTTTGCAGAGGTATAAGGTACACTTTGGTATTCTTTGCGGGTGACAAAATCTCTCTGCTCATCCGGCATTGCCCGTGGTACTGGGCCGCTAGGTGTTGATAATTGTGCCATTGCCTTGGTTGTCTTCCCGATATGGGAGCCTCTACCTCGGGCCAAAGGTCTAGTCCAGGTGGCAGCGGTCTGGCCCGCAGGGCCTTTGATGCCATTCGTGGCCTCTTCAGATTCAGATTTTGATTGGTTTTTCTTCAACCTGATTTCTTCAAGTCGTAAGTCCCGCATGACATGTAGCTGATCCCTGAGTAATTGCAGCCTCTTAGTCGATTCATCCTCTTTTAACTTATAAAAGGTTTCGATCTTTGACAGCTCTTTGTCCATGAAAGCGAAAAACTCGGCCTCCTTAGTTTTCAGTTCTGCAAGAGCCTGCTCTCGTGCGGGTGCCTGGGTTTTAGAATTCTCATATTCTGGGCTAGATGAGAACATTCGGTGGATAAACGAAGGTCTTGGGCCAGGGGTGCCAATTGTAGGTCGCCGATCTCTTATTTGCTTGCGTAATGATCCGCGCCCGGATTGTGTATTTTGTCCAGGGCGAAGGTTCTTTTGCCTGTTTGTATAGGGTGCCAAAAGCCCGTCATTGTGTAGAGTAGATGATTCATTCCGGGGCGTGAAATAGTTGTCCTCTGGATCAATTGCGGGATCAGGAAGCTGAAGTGAGGAAGGAGCTAAAGAGGGAGAAACTGTGTGGCTCGGTCGTGGTGGCACAATGCTTCCATATCCTTCAGTCTGGTCGAATCGAGATGCTGGAGTTCGAAGCGGTGACCGTTCCGGTGCGGCTTGGTTCGCCCAATCACCTGCATGACGCTGCGTTACACTGCTGAGTCCAGGTATCTCATTAGGCGTCAAGGGAAATTGGATCGAGTCACGGCGTGTAGCGCTAATTTGGCTGAACCTCCGCCGCCCAGGAGTCCACGATGCCTGTTCGACATGTCGAAGAGCTCTTGCGATGGCTTTGACCTTCTTCTTCCCACCCTATAGATCATCCCAACTCTACAAGTCAGCTCGGGGATCTGCATTGTGTGGCATTGCTTGACCTTCAAACTTGCCTTGTAGTTCAAATACTTCGCCCGCCATTCAGGAACCAGTTCCCGTTCAAGGTCCCTACAGATGGGCGCTGGTCAGCTTACTGCTCTGTCGAAGGTAACCAGGAGCCAAGTATCTCTCCTTAGTGTGGGACTTACTTTGCAAACTTCATCCTCTGGCGTGTACCTGGGTAAATTCATCGCCAACTGCTGCTGAAGAGACTGTAAAATGAACAATTCTTGCAATAAATCACTGTCGCGAGATGCTCCAGGTCTGCCTCGGCGGTGTCTTTTGATATATAAGTCTTTCCATCTTTGCGCCTCGACCACAAAAGTACAAACCGGCTTCGGCAAAGACCCACGTGTCTGCTGACTCATCAAAGGTAAAAAAGAAGCAATTTCAGCCTCTTTCGACGGCGTCTTTTCTTTTTTGCTTTCGCTCGCTGTGACAGCAAGTCGACGGACAGCGAAACAGATGCCAGAAGAGAGGTATGAAACGAGCGACGAGCTGAAGAAAAGGAATGATGCTGTGACGGCGACTACAACACAGGCGGGATGGATGCGGATAAGTTGACTCTGTGGCTGCTGTTTGGCCGGCGGGAAGGATGCGGGAGCAAGCAGACGAAACCCCCTAGCTGGGATGATTGGTCCTACGAACAAACGCCTTGTCCTCCTTGTGCGGAAGAGGAGAAAGCGCACAATGTGGCTCGCGGGATGCCCTGGGAGGGACGAAGGGAAACAAACCTTATCCTCTTGTTGATGCTGAAAGGATCTTCGTGGAATCATCCTCTGCAGCCAGCAATTGGACAGACATTTGTTTGCCACGAAAAGAGCCCCCGTATCTTGTTCCTGGACCACTGTTTTCCGTACAACGACAGCTGTCTATTTGCCAGAAGCTCATGAGTCGTGTGACCGCTCACGCTCCAATCAAAGCCCAGACCCTCTAATCTGCAGCTAACACTGTCCTTGCAGCCACCACGCGAAGAGCTCTTGTTATTCCTTCTCGAAACGTGTAACTAATTCACTAACTCGCGATAACTAGTTATCGTGCAAAGGCCCATGTCGTTCCTTTTCTCACACCGTTATTTCGATGCCGGCATCCCGAGGACACGCCAACGTCCGCCATACTTGTTCCACAACTGACGACCCTCTGCAGTTATCGACTTATAACGCTTTTAGCTAAATACGAGGTGCCACTTCCCTGTCACATCTACTATCGATGCCCTCTGTACAACGCGACAGTGTCATTTATTAGCCTTGGCAGTCAGTTGTTGATATCAAATTCGCATCCGGCAGAACATGATCATGAGGTGGAAGTCAAACGAGCCAGGTCAGTCTCTATTTACAACCTCTTGTCTGCAAATTAACATGAACATGCCAAAAAAAACTATACAATACGAATAAACAATCGAATGGGATTTAACTCCCGACAAACGGATATCTCTGTGCGTATCTAAATTCGGCCAGAAAATTGTATACAGAGAAAAGTGCATGTCAAACAGAGTCATGAATAATCAAACTGACAAATCGATGGCATATCTCTCATAATCGAAATGCTCCAACGTCTGAATTGTCTCCCCCCAGTCATTAGGCATCTCTCCAGGTTGCCAGTCATTTCCTGTCTGGAAGTCTCCAGTGCTAGTAATGAGAGCGTCTTTTTGCTGGTCATGATACTCAGCAAGGAGATCCGGGTGAGGCACCCAAACAACTCTCATTCCAGCCCGTCTAGCGGCCTCGACTCCAATCAAACTATCCTCAAAGACCAAACATTCGCTGGGTAATATGACCCTCTCGCCGAAACTCACTGCCGAGTTCAGTGCCTGTAACGCGACCAAGTATATATCAGGAGCTGGCTTTCCCCGCCCCTTCGGTATCCGTGAATCGTCTCCCAAAATTCGATGTTCAGTTGGGAAGAGATCGATCAATCGCTTTGTTTCTGGTCTTGAGGTCTTGACTTCGTAGCTTTGTCGTTTCGCACCAGTTGCTAATGCCAGCTTTATTCTCTGGCCGGATGCTGCACTATGCGCACGACTAAGGTTGTATACAAGCTGCTCTGCACCCGGCATTGGCATACAATTTGAGAAATATAGTTGCATTTGTTTAGCCGATTCGAGGGCCCATTCCTCGCGAGATATGGGCAGTTTGGCCCAGTCATGGAACATATCACTATTTGTTGAACCGGGGACACCCATTAGTCTGTCTCGAATTGATCTAGTAAAGGGTGGTCTTCCGTGTTTTTCGAGGAGTTGATTTATAGACGAGGTTATTTTGTCCTCCGAGTTAATCAGTAGTCCGTCCATATCAAATATGCAAGCTCGTATTGAGGGGCAAGGGCACCCCATGGTTGCTATAACAGTCTGCTGTGGGCAGGCTCTATATCAGGACTGCCTATAGTCTTGAAGACGATGATGACCAAAGGTTTCGAGAACAGATGTAAGTGTAAAAGCGAGCCTTCATTAAAGGCTTAGTTGCTCAGATGTCACCCACCGATATACAAAATGGCTGAATTGCTTGGATAGAGTAAGTTTTAGGCCTTAAAGGATAAGAGGTGTTAGGGTTGGGTTAGGGAGCAGTTATTCTATATAAGAAAGAGTAGTAAGGTGAGACAAAGCGAGATATAAGACGCGAGTAAACAAGATATAGACGTACCTTACTAAGGGATACGTAGATGAAACAGAGAGTAATACTCTGGGTCTACTCTTGTGTGGTTAGGCAGGTGGATACAGTGGCATTGAGGAATTGGGCAGCATTAGTTATAGCACGAGTTTATATCTAAACTATATTATACGGTACGGCCCGTGGCATCTCCAATTCTATAAAACTATTTAGTAGTAAAATCTCTATTCATTAGTAGGACGAAAAATTTCTGCTGAAAAGTATCCCTGCTCATCACTCGACTCAATGCTGCAAAACGTCTTCAAACCAATCCAGGACCACTTGATTCGCCAAAACACTTGCACCGACAGAACAATGTTCGCCGGCTCCATCAGCGGTGCTGAACTCGTGATAAGTAGCAAGTTTGCTACCAATCCTGTCGGCCAGTACTTTTGCCTGGCCAGGGAAAAATTGATCGTTCTGCGCATCACCCACAAAAACCGGCGCAGTAATGTTCTGTGCAAAGCCATCCATATTGTATTTTTGGGTCTGTGAGAGCCATTCGAAGGGTGATTCGGTGTTAAACGACCACAAACCTTGCTGAACAGCCCATTTGGTGAACGTGTCAGTTGACGGTTCTGCTAGACCCTTTCCCAAGATGGAATCGAAAAGTTTTGCGTTCTCAGGCCCAGATTTGAATAGTTCCTTCAACTTTGGTGGGAAAGGCTTCAGATTGGATTCGCCGAAGTCATAAATGCCATCCAAAGCAATGACAGCAGCGATACGGTGCTCAACCGCTGCAGCGCGAGGTGCAAGAAACCCGCCGAATGAAAGGCCCATGAGACCAATAGCATTGGCTCGGACTTCAGGGCGGGTGATGGCATAGTCAACCACGGGAGTAACAACCTTCTCCCACTGAGGAATGAAACCGAGCTTCTGTTCTCGGCGAACAGTGGGCTGGCCGGGCCCTTCGTAAGTGATAACGTTGATTCCTCGGTCAAGGGCTGCCTTGCCCAGAACATGATACATTTCCTCCTGTGCGCCATCGAAGCCATTTCCCATTATGATTGTCGGTCGTGGGCCAGGCAAGCCACAGTCGAAAAATATAATTGGTATTGTGAAGTTTGAGTTGGGGTCGTCACCCTTGGCATGCAGAGTTACCCTCTGCCCTGGGACAGGGAGTAAGGAAATTGCTGCATTGAATGCTTCCAAGTGTTTATCCCAAAGAGAATAAACTCGGGAGTCGGTCCAGTTTCCCCGCAAAAAGAAGTCCGCAGAACGATAATAGGTTGCTGCCTTGAAGAAGGTATTGCGGGCGGAGATTGGATGGTCGGTAATGTTTATGGCTTTGGCCTGCTGATGAACGCGAGTGGCAAGTTTATTGAATGCAGTGTAATAACTTTCGAAGTCTCCGGGTTTGATTTCACTGGCCGCAAGGAGAACTTCATTGACGTCGGAACCTTCATATGGCACCAGGGATAGATCACGCAGCAATTCGTAGTGAAATGGCTTGTCCGAGCTGAGCTGAATTGCTGAAATTGACGTGTTATCTCTCTTCTCAATGCGCAAGGGAGAAGCCTACCCCGAAAAATATTAGAAGCTAGGAATAATAGATACATCACACCCTCAGGAAACTTACCGAGCAAAGGCTAACCACGCCAATTAGGGATGCAAGGTGCGACAACTTCATTGTTGTGAGGGGATATAGCTGGGTATATTATGTTTAAGCTGTTCTATTGTAGCTGGACTATGTATTTTCGAGAAATGGTATACATCCAGAGGAGTCGACCTCGAATTTTATAGACATCTTGAATGAGATATGCGTCATGGCTTCGGTGTCCTGAATTGGAATCAGTTGCGAGATAGCTATAGTCCGGTAACCAAAGATGAGTATAGTTCAGCCCTGGTTCCATTATATAGCCTCAATAGAAGGGAGGATTTTTGGCAGGATCCAGCAGGATGGATGGCGGGCGCAGTAGTTGCGTCCCAAAGAAGTAAGAGTCGCGAGCCCAATGTTTTGCGTTCATTATATAATCCAACCTTAACTTTATTCCGGAAGATGCTAAGCTCCGTGACGGTCTAACTTATTTCGGCTAGACCACGGGCAGAGCCGCGAGGGAATTAGTAATCGATCCTTCAAGCTCGTTTAACCAAAAGCGGAACGAAGGACCGCCATTTGTTGAGATGAGCAGGCAGATGCATTCAGCATGACGGAGGTACCCCCAATCATCTCGTTTATAAACGAGCAGCAGCGTCAGCAGCAGGCCTCTGGGCGCCGGAAGGGGGTGAAGCAGTTTCACAGAAAGTCCCGGGTCGGTTGCCAGAGATGCCGGACAAAGAGAATCAAGGTGAGTGCAACAGCATATATAAGGACTACCAGGGTCAATTGTCCCTGGAGGTACTCCGTACAGGGTGTATTTACAATCAGTTACTAATGACTAGAAAGTGTGATGAAACCAAGCCGGTATGCCGCAACTGCGAGCGTGTTGAGGAACCCTGTATCTATGACCGCCTTCCTAAAGATGAATCTATGGAAGCGGGTGAGCCGGCAGAAACGAAAGACCGGCGGATCCTGGAGCTCAAATTGATGCATCTTTATATCACCGAAACTGGGCCGACAATTGCGTTCGATCCGGAGACGTCTTATGAGGTCTTCGTCGATGCTCTCCCGCGCATGGCCTTCCAGTCGGATGGACTGCTGTACAGTATCTATGCCGTCACCAGTCTTCATCAAGCAAGAAAACTACCATCCACTATTTCTGAATCCTCTATGCTGGAGCATCACCATCGTTATCTACAGCTTGCATTCAAGCACCATCATAAAGAGCTTATATCCTTTTCAAAGGAGAAGGCCGATGTGATCATGCTTACCACTCATCTTATGCGTCTTGTAGCCTTCGTGATGCTCTCAGAACGGATTCTGGAGCCTTATGCGCCTCCCATAGAGTGGCTTCGCATAACTAGCAGCAATGCGAAGTTCTTTCAAACCGCCATGGAAGCTATTGGGGATGATCCCTCCACCTGCACAGCCAAGCTAATCAGATCAACCCCACTAACATTGGACGAGGATAGTGCCCAGCACGACTTTCCTGATCCTCGACCAAGCTTTGAGCATATCTTGACTGCTCGAAGCAAGGATCCTGATGACAACGATGACCCGGCTTTCTGGGATGATGGTGTCAGGGTTGCCT